TCTCTGCCTGGTCAAGTCAGTTTGAAATAAGAGAAAGCCAAAGTGTTTTTCCTGTTTTCCCCTGCCACTCAACACAGAATGTCTCTCTTCTGGTTAGCAAAATGTGTTGGGTTTCTCCCCACCAACAATCAAATTTTGGTGGCCATCAAAGGGTTTCCTGTGCTTCATTTCTGACCCTGTATACCTGTAGTTAGGGTCAGATCCTACCGACAGAGGGCTGCGACCCCAAGTCTGCTCCCCACCTGATATTTCACTAACGTGGTAGGTTGTCACCGCTCCTTCTGATCAACCACCGGAGAGTTGGAGGTGTCTTTGAAGCCCTGTTCAGGAGGTGCTAGGCTGGCTCACAGCCCTCAGTGACACGTTTTCTGTGTCTGTTGATCTATTATAAGGGACATTTGAGAGGACACAGATGAATAGCCAGATGAAGAGGCTCGCATGGCAAGGCTCATTTACGCTTCACTGTGTACCTCACCCTCCACACACATATGTGTGCTCTGCACTTGGAAGTTCTCTTAACCCCACGATGAAGGCATTTGTATGGTGATGTCATCATGTGGGCATGATTGATGTTAACTCAGCCTCCAGCTCTCTCCCTTTCCTGGAGGAAGTTGGTTGGGGCTGAACATTTCAGGCTTCTAATTATAGCTTCATCTTTCTGGATGCAGGACACCATAAAGGTGGCCTCATCAGAACATGTCACATTTCTGTTACCCAAAATTCCAAGGTATTAGGAGTCTCTGAGGAACCTGGGAGCAGACCAGTGTGTGTGTTTCTTCTTATTTCACAACGTCCCTGAGCCCCTGTTCAGTTCTGCTTTATTCACACATTGCTGCTGCGTAGGAAGGGACTGGATGATTGGGTCTTCTGAGATCATTCCTTAGCAGGAGGAAGTCAGGGGACAGACGGGTCCTGTGTTAGAAGCGTAGCTCACTGGAATGATGGGTGTGGTTCCTAGTTCACTGTCATTTGTTTCAGCCGCCACTACTCTCATCTTGTGCCTTTTCGTGTATTGTACATGAGCCTGGTTTTTATATATTATCATTTTTTTATTTTTTATGATTTCTTTTGTGTTCTTCATTTCTGGAGTATGTGGAGCTGCTGTATCAGAGAGGGTCTACTGGTTTACTTATCTTAGAAGATTTAATTGTTTTGGTACAGAGGTTGTAGTCAGCAACCTTTACAAGCTGCAAAAATTTTTACTTGGTTATTTGGTATTTTTTTCTCTAACTTCATAAGTACTATTAAAATGTACTTTTGTCAGGCAGC